TACTGGGCTTGACATGGGCTTTTGAAACCTCAAAGTGACACACTTCCTCCAACAAGGCCACACCTCCTAATCCTTTCAAATAGTTCCACTCCCTGGTGAGTAAGCATTGAAATATATGAGCCTATGGGTCCGTTCTTATTCAAACCACCACACCTCAAATGAATGTGCTTTGCAGTCTAGGGTACTACATGCATACAAATAATAAGCTATGAAGCCAGGTTTCCCATTAAAACCACACTTTAAAATGATCACTGGGTAGTAGGTGCATCATGTACTCTTGTTTCTTTCTCCTAAGGTGGAGCCAGCATTCCTCTCAACAGTTCTCATTTGTTAGAACGTCTATACCTCGCAAATGGCTCTATATGTGAGGCTCTGCCTTAAAGATAACATCCTGAGAAAGGCCCCTCCCACCTTAGGCTCATTCCCCCAAATTTGATTAACAATTCTCTCACTTTTTGAATGTGAAATGTCCCCCAGAGGCTAATGTTTCTACACTTGGTCCCCAGTGGGTGCTGTTTGAGGAGATTGGGGAACCCTTGGGAGGTAGAGTCTACCTGAAGGAAGCGTGTCGCCGGGGTGATAAACCTTGTGCTTTACAGCCCAGCCCCACTTCATATTATCTGTCTGTTTCCTAGTTCCCTGAGATGAGCAGCCACTGCAGGCTCCCACCCCACAGAGCTACTCATGGCCATGTCTTCTCCCCATAGTGGCTTGAATCTACGCACTGAGCCAAAGCAAACCTTCCTTCCCCTAAGTTGCTTCTTGTTGGGTATGTTGGTACAGTGATGGGAAAAGCAACTAATGGTTTCCTCCAGAGTTGTCTGCACTTTGCCATGTTCCTCCTGCATCCTCCCAATCACAGCTGTAATTAATGTCTGTCTCCTAGCCCAAAGCAGGGATTCAGTGAAAACAGAGAACACATGTACTTTGTATGTAGCATTTAGTATAATGCCTGGTACACAAGTGATCAATAAACATGCTGAAGAAGTCAAGGAAAAAATAAATAAACGTAAGCACATAACTTTGAACTGTTAAATGAATGCATTTATTTTTGTTTTACTTAGTTGAATTAAATGAAGAAAAGCACAAAGAATTAATGGCAAAGAAGGAGATGGAAATAGCAGAGTTAAATGCAAAGTTACGAACTCAAGAGAAGGAAAAACAAAATGAAATACTCAGACTGCGTCTAGAAGTAGGTGCTTATGAGTCTGCTAAACGGGAGCGTGTTCCGTAGTCTAAACCATGCTTTGTTTGTTTCTTATTGCAATGACATAAATTTCAGGACTAGATAGAACCCTCTGAGAAGAAGATGCTCCACATTCTCACTCTTCAGCAAACGCAGAGCTCAGTCCGCAGGCTGCTGCCCATATGCTTTACAGCACTTGATCTGAGGAAGGTCCCAGCTTCCAGGAAGGATGTGCCTCCTCTGAGAATGAGGACAGCCACTCAGGAGTTACCTGAGTTTACAGTCTGGTCTACACAGGGACAAATGGCCACCGTTCCAGCATGGGGAGAGAACAACAAATCCTTGGTATTTCTCTCTCCCCAGAAGAAATCATGGAACTCTTTTGTTTTATATGAGCTAAAAACAGACCAATTTCTCCATAACATATTTCTATGAAAATATATATTCTAGAGTCAAACAAAATTCCTTTGGAACATTTGTAAATGTATTTTAAATAAGTATGTCTCATAAATTTTGTAGTTCCTTTTTCTTTTCTGTTCCACTACATGTCAGAATCTCAAGGATACTGATGTGTTAACAAGGAATTTGTCTTTTGCATTTTTTTTTCTAAATTCTACCAACCTATTTTTCCATTATTGTGCCATGGCTTCTGCCCATCTCTACTTCCACTTTACATTATGCAAAAATTCACAGATCTTAATTAAAATTAATTATTTTAATGTTATTTGGGATTAAATATTAATTAACTAATTAAATTATAACATTTAATATTAAATAATGTTAATATTTTAATTAATGTTAATTAATGTTAATGTTAATTATTTAATATTAAAAAATAGTTAAAGTAAGCTGGATGGTGGTGGCACACACCTTTAATCCCAATACTCGAGAGGCAGAGCCAGGCATCAGATCTCTGTGAGATCGAGGCCAGCCTTGTCTACACAGCAAGATCCAGGACAGGCACCAAAACGACACAGAGATACCCTGCCTCGAAAAAAAAAAATTAAAATAATTTATTTTCCAGGAGCTTTGCTATGGCCAGGGTACTTGATGGGGGTCTATAGGTAACATTATGGGGCAGAAAGGGGGTTAGGTTGCTTCAGAAGGATTTTTTTATTGCTATTAACACTGCTGTTGCTATTGCTGCCACTGTGTGTCTGGCTGTACGGCTGCTGATGGTGCCGCCTCTGGCTCCCAGCCATTATGTCCACAGAGAGCGCTGGCTGGCCAGCTGAAATACAGCAGCAGGTCGTATTTCAAGATGTACCACCAACTTAGCTTCCATCAGTTAGGAATTTTTATTTTATTTACTACCTGGGCCATGTCACTAGACCAGTCTGATTATACTGTTTGACTAGTACTCAGATGTCTGTCTTCATTATAACTCTCTAGTTCTCTCCTCAAACCAGAACACAATCTCGTGGAAAGCTTATTCTAGTTTTCTGAGAGGCTACACTAAAGTAAATCTAAAAAGAAGAATTATAGTGGAATATTATGCTTTAAAAAATGGCTTATAAGAGTAGGCTGTCCTTCAACTGAAGAATGGATAAACAAAATGTGGTACATATACACAATGGAATACTACTCAGCAGAGAAAAACAATGGCATCATGAGGTTTGCAGACAAATGGATGGATCTAGAAAAAATCATCCTGAGTGAGGTAACCCAGACTCAGAAAGACAAGCATGATATGTACTCACTCATAGCAGGATACTAGACATGAAACAAGGATGACTTGTCTGCTACTCACATCACCAGGGAGGCTACCTGGAAAACAGGACCCCAAGAAAGACACAGGGATCACCCAATGACAGAGAAATGGAATGAGATCTACATGAACAGCCTGGACATGAGTGGGGGTAATGAAAGGCGAGGGTCGAGGGAAAGAGAGCTTGGGGGAGCGGGAGATCCCAGCTGGATCAACAACAGAGAGGGAGAACAAGGAATAGGAGACCATGGTAAATGAAGACCACATGAGAATAGGAAGAAGCAAAGTGCTAGAGAGGCCCACAGAAATCCACAAAGATACCCACACAACAGACTGCTGGCAGTGGTCGAGAGACAGCCCGAACTGACCTACTCTGGTGATGGGATGGCCAAACACCCTAATTGTTGTGCTAGAAACCTCATCCAACTTCTGAGGGGTCTGGATGCAGAGATCCATGACTAGGCCCCGGGTGGATCTCTGGGAGACCAATTAGCGAGAATGAGGAGGGTTTATATGAGCGAGAATTGTTGAGACCAAGGTTGGATAAAGCACAGGGACAAATAGCCAAATGAATGGAAACACATGAACTATGAACCAATGGCTGAGGGGTCACCAACTGGATCAGGCCCTCTGAATGGGTGAGACAGTTGATTGGCTTGATCTGTTTGGGAGGCATCCAGGCAGTGGGACCAGATCTTGTGCTCATTGCATGAGTTGGCTGTTTGAAACCTGGGGCCTATGCAGGATTGTTTGGCTCGGCCTGGGAGGAGGGGACTAGACCTACCTGGACTGAGTCTACCAGGTTGACCTCAGTCTGTGGGGAAGGCTTTGCCCTGGAGGAGATGGGAATGGGGGGGGGGGGGGGGGGGTTGGGGGGAAGGTGAGGGGGACGGGAGGGGAGAGAACAAGGGAATCCGTGGCTGATATGTAGAACTGAATTGTATTGCAAAATAAATTAAAAAAAAAAAAAAGAGTAGGCTGTAGGAATCTTTTAATTTTACTCAATTTAATTCAAAACAAAACAAAAACAGAAACCCTGAATTGACTAAATTACATCCAATTTCTAATATTTGGCTTCAAAGTTTGAAAGACATGAGCTTTTCTCCTAAAAATATGGATTACAAAGTATTTTCTTGACAAAAGTACACCAATGTAATGTGGAAACATTTTCTACTCAGTGTTCAAGAGCATGCCTCACAGGGAAGGGTAGGAAGAGCAATGGTGTCTTGAGAAAAAGTACCGCGCTACCTAGAGAGGTAGTGCCCAGGCTTTGGGCCCTTTTTTAAAGCCCCCAAAGCAATTTTAACTCACCATTTAGCTGAATCTTGTTTGGATGTTCTTTGTTCTTTTTTTAAGTTGTTTCATAATTTGAAAAACTTACGTCTATTATACAGATTGTGTTCAATTCAAAATATATAGCAAAGGGTTTTGTTGGTATACTTTTTCTGTAGAAACATTGTTTCCAAGTATTGAACTCTAACAGCCTTAATAACTTTCTCTTTTTGAATTTGATTCAGTTTGACACCAAACTAGCAAGAATTCAGACGAAGTCAAAATCCTATGCAGATGCTACTATTCTGCCACAAAGTATCTACAGAAGGGTATGTGCATTTTGTCCTATGACTCTAACTTCAGTAAATTAATTGCCCTAGTGTGTTCCTATCGACATTTCCTAATGTTTACTGTAAATACAGTAAATAATTTCCGTAGTCTAATACCATTTTTCACTTTCAGTCACACAAAAGTGAAGCTACAGGCCTTTCAAAGTATGGCAGTTTTTAAAGTATAAGCCTGAAGTGTGTTTTGATCGTTGTCTTGCCCTTCCTTCTACTTGATCTTTCTTCTCAATTTCAATGACAACCTTTCTTCTGCTTCGTTTAGAAGCTTCAACATCTTCAAGAGGAAAAGAGCAAGGAGATTTCGAGTCTCCAGGACACCATCCGAGACCTGGAGCAGCGCCTTGCAGTGGCCAGAGACTCCCGCCTCACACGGAGACGGTTTTGAGTGAGCGCTTCATACAGCAGCTACAACTTAACTTCTTTAAAGGCATTTAAAAAAATCACTTCTTTTTTCAATGTGAGCATGCTAAATAATAAAGACGCACACTTTTAAGCTTTTTAAAATTGCATTTATTGAGATAAGTCTGTACTGTGGCCAATTCTGTACTGCATTCTTGCTTAATGGTATTAGCCATAAAAGAGTTCAGGTTCATAGGGCCGAGTTTCTCTATTAAACCATCATTGATTATGGAAATACTGTCTTAAGCAGCATGCAGGTTAACAACATACTTTTCTTCCATTCTTTCAAGACAATCACTCACAGTTCAGAAGAACAATACAACATAAGATGAGGAAAATAAGATACACAGATGTATGTACTAAAGGAAAGCTAGTAGTCTTAGATATAAAAAAAGATAAGTAGATATTAAGATGTAGTCTGTTTAAGATTTAGTTGGTTAAAAATGTAAGATTAAAGAGATGAAGTTGTTGTTTTGAGAGTTTAAGTAAAGAAAAAACTGGAAAATGTGTCTTTGTCGTTCTTTCTCCGTTCTAAATTACGAGCTATCCAACAGAAACCCCTAGGTCATAGTTTATGTTTCTGTTCTCATCAATGTAAATAGAACACTGGAAAAAGACAAAAAAAGACATATTAACCAAAAGCTGCAGTCACTTTTTAGTTACCCCACAATACAAATCTGATTTGGGCCAAATTTTCTGTGGCATAAAATTTTAAATTTAGAAGCCAATATGGTACATTTCTCCGTGTTTGCACAAATCCAATTCCTGCTTTTAGTTCACTGATTTATTAAGTGGATTGCAAAATTTCCTAAAAATGAATTGTGTCTTTAGACTGACTTAGGGAGCAGCCATCTTATTTTAGATATTTAGTTTGGGCGTCACTTTCACTTTTTGGTCTTATTCTTTCAGCTTCAGGTGGGGCTGGCTTCTGTGGGGTTTAGTGGCTGACTCCGTCAGGCAGCTGGAGGGGCCCGACACTGTCAAGATTCAATGACTTTCTCCTCCGCAAAAAGTCCCTGTCAGCTACACAAGGACGGGAGGTTTTCAGCGCACTGTCAGGTGATTGCGGACCCTGACTTCTCAAAGATGAGATGGCGGCAGTGGCAGCAGCAGCTGCCGGCAGTCGTCCCGGACTCCTGGGACAACTTACACAGGAGCTGGTTTAGGCACCCCTTCCGGCAAAGCTTCCTTTGGGCAAGTGAAAGCTGTAGGCCTTCACTTGCCTGCATGTCTCAGCTCTCTAAGTGACCCTGCCTGTGCTGGGGATGATGTAAGGCTGAAGGAGGCAAAGCTGGCTTAGCATCTAGTGCTCCTGGTTGCTCATTCTCGGACAGCTCACTGCTCCCAAGATGCCCATGCCCGCGCTCATTCTCGGATAGCTCACTGCTCCCAAGATGCCTATGCCCGTGTTTGTGATGGTGCTTGTGGTGGTGGTGTGTCTTTGAGGGCTCCGCTGTGCTACCCACGGCAGCTGAGGACACATTTTTACAGAAGTCTTCATCTTCAAGACTCTGGAACAAATTTATAAATCACGTATTAGCAAGCTCATAGATTTACCATGAATGCATTTAAAAAAATTACTTGTAGAGCCAACATTTATGTTATTCCAACAGGTTAATTAGGATACAGTTGGTTAGTATATTAATGAAAAAGAGCCTGACCTTGGTCTCAATGTCTGTATTTTTTATTAAAGGTTTAAAGAATCCAAACTACCATAGTTCTCTCTGCAAAATCAAAACTAAGTAAACTGGCTGAAAAAACTTAGATCATAGTGAAGTCAGCCAAATACGGAATCCCGACATCAGTAGTGCTGTGTGTAACTTTTCACCCCTGCCATCTAACCTAGTCCTGTTTTCTAAAGCAAAATGGTTTCTCCCCGACAACTCAAAAATGCTAATTAAAAACTTTTCATTCTGCAACATGTGTGGGAAAATGTTTTTAATTTCACCAAGCTTTAGTAATGTTTACACAGTTCTGTCGGGTAAAATCAGCATCATAGCCTACTTTAATCAACAGCCTTTTTTTTCCTTTTAATAGAACGAATAATGTATCATATAATTGATGGCATCTGGGAGACAGCAAAACAGAAAAGTGCTGATTTGGTCTAGATATCAATTGCCATAGTATGCTATTCTTGTTAACAAATACTTCATAGGTTTTAAGCTGATTATGGGAAATGTTTCTGCCTTTTTATTTCAGTACAACTGGGTATGTTTATAGCAGGCATTTACACAAACCAGAAGTAACCCCAAAATATGAAAAATAAAATCACAATGGCATTAAGTAATCATGTCAGTTCAACTTTAAGAGCTTTATTTGCAACCCAGTCTCATCTTTAAAATCTGAAACTAACTCTCAGATTTTATGAATATTAAAATATAAAAGTGAGCCGGGCGGTGGTGGCGCACGCCTTTAATCCCAGCACTCGGGAGGCAGAGCCAGGCGGATCTCTGTGAGTTCGAGGCCAGCCTGGGCTACCAAGTGAGTCCCAGGAGAGGCGCAAAGCTACACAGAGAAACCCTGTCTCGAAAAACCAAAAAAAAAAAAAAAAATATAAAAGTGGTATAATTAAAATGGCCTGTCAACAAAGTTAATTGATTAAATGACTTGTTGAAATTTGAGGAAGCTTCCTGTCGATCTAGGGAAAGAAAATGTAACTACTAAATAATTTCAAAACATTTTCAAATCTGAACTTAAATTTTGGCAGGCTGCCCTATTAGAGAAACATTGTTTAAAATTATCTAAAGTATGGGAGAAAAAAATTTAGTCAATAAAAATTAAAAGATTTTTAATAAAATGCTTAAATGTATACTTCTCATAACAAGAACAAATATTTTCATGGTTATTAGGAGATAGCAGTAATGAGTAGAACATATTTCTTTTTCAGGTAAGTGCAATAATTCAGCTTACAGACTGGGAAAGAGGACAGCCCTTTAGCAAAGCTGGTTGTCCTGAATCCTTGACAGTTTATTTAGTTATCTAGTCTCAGTTCCCTACAGGTAACATCGCAGATGAGCTTGACTATCACTGTGCTCCGAGCATGCCCAGGTTACCACAGTCATAATATTTTATGTGTTGACTAAATTCTTGGAGCACTCATACTTATACAAAAACATTCATTAGTAAGTGACATAGTGATCTACATTGATTTTTATTATTTTAAATATTTATTATTTTTTACTTTATGTGAACGAGTATCGTGCCTGCTGGATTAGGTGCACTGCCTCTGTGCCTGGTACCCTCAGAGGCCAGAAGAGGGCACCACATGGACTGGAATTCAAGTGGTTCTAAGCTGCCATGTTGGTGCTGGGGACTGAACAGGGATCCTCTGCAAGAGCAGCAAGTGTTCTTAACCACTGAGCCATCTCTCCAGCCATGATTTGTTGGCGTGTTTGTTTTTAAAGCCTTTCAAGATAAAGGTAGCAAATATGAGTCTTGCAAATATGTTTTAACAAGTGTTATGTAACAGAAAATGTACATTTAAGATTTTCTTATCTAATTGATGATGAACCACTTATTTAGATACATTTTTAAAGTTTTCTCCTTATCACCCGGTAAAAACAACCGAGAAAAATACCTACCGTGAGAGAGCAGTTTCCACACTTCTGCTCACAGTAAGCGATCTTAATGGCTTCTTCGACATACGGGAAAGTGAGGAAGGAATAGGGCAAGCCCAGGTGATACACGAGACGGCCACATCTAAAAGACAGATGCCATGTTACTACTGTCCTCTCTGCTGTGACCCTACTCAGGCTCAACTGTGTAGCCCCTTCCATGCTCCTAGTAAATTTCCTTGAGTGGGGTCTATAATTGAGTTCCCAGGCAATATACCAGGTCAGGTTATAGCAAGGTTGCTGAGTCTTATTTTAGCATTTTTAAATGTTATAGATGTCATTAAATAATTTAAAAATGTGGAATGACTGTGACTCAGCCAGATACTTTTTTAATTAGCATATGTCCTGCCAAAGACTAACCATGGGAGCTTTTCATAACTGCTCAGGCAAGACAAATTTCACAAAACCAGAAATCACTGTGTAACAAAAACAATGTCACAGTTTGGGCCAGTATCTTCTTTATTTATTAATTTGTAGTCTAGGAAACAAACCCAAGCCTTTCACATCCTATGTAAGTGATCTACCAGTGGGCTATATCCCCAGCCCTTGAATTTTTTAGATAGAGTCTCATAATGCGATTCAAATTAGCCTTGAACTCACTGTGAGGCCTAAGCTAACCTGAAACTCATGAGTCTCCTTTCTATTGAGTGACACAGGTATTGGGCATTGGGAGTCTAGAGCACACGTGTACATGATGCTCACTGGCTCATTTATCCCAAGAAACATATCTGATGTAAGAAAAATTTCAGCACAGTAAAATCACTAGAATTGGAGTTTGACATTCTCCAAAATGGTAAGGTTGAAATGTCGATTTTACCCAAAATAGACGTCTTTATATTTGTACTTTACAGCTGACTAGAAGTTTAGCAGCCGGAAAGAACAAAGTGTGAGGCTAAAATGGCATTTAATGTGAGACAAAGCGAGGAGCCAGCCCCGGCAGAGCCAGCAGAAAGCAAGCATCATCAACCAAGCATGTGTGTGACTATCACCGCGGAAGAGAAAGCCGGGTTTGGCGTTCGGTTACTGTATTTGAACTTTGTAAACTTACTTCAGTTCACTAGGATATACGTAGTATTGTGGTCAGCGAAGAGATGAGGTCATTTTTGCAGAATGTTCAGCATGAAGAGAGGGGAAACTAAATCACCCTGAACAATACACACATGTAAACAGGAAGAAGAAGAAGAAGAATGGGAAGGGGGAGGTGGCATGGGAAGAAGAAGAAAGCTGTGGAGAAAAACAGTAGGGTAGTGTCCGTCAAAGGGTCAAAACCGAAAGGGTTTGCCACAGCAAGGAGTCACGTGTGACGAAACGCGACCTGTGGCATTCAGCAGTGAAGCACGCTCCTGCGAATGATCAAAGTAATAAAATGACTAGTAAGGGTCTGGGAGGAGCTCACCTGTCATATATGAGGAAGTCGTCTTTGTTTCCATTTAGGAGAGTCCAGACATCCGTCTGGTGTTCTTCTTGTCGGTAAACAGCAATGTGGTCTGACACATGATTCTTAAGGTGTGTGTGTTTCAATTGAGAGGGGGCTCCTCGATGGTTCACAACAATGTAAGAAATGTTAGAGTAGCCTTCCTTCTCTAGTTTCAGGCGCAGGTCTTCCAGTCTAAGGGGGAAACACGTAACGTGAACGGTGACACTTAGTTGGTTGATTTGTTCCGCCTTCTACATTCTTTTTACTTTCTGTGAAGCTCTGATTATTTTTAACTGACTGAAATTTTTCTTTGTGTTGTAAAACTGAGGCTTCACTTTTATTTAAAGCTTGGAACGTTTTGTTTGTTTTTCTGTGTAGCCCTAACTGTCCTGGAACTCACTCAGTAGACCAGGCTTGCCTCGAACTCACAGAGATTCCCCCTGCCTCTGCCTCCCAAGCCTCCCAAGTGCTGGGATTAAAGATGTGCACCACCATAGCCTGGCTAAAACTTGAAACTTTATGCTAAATGCTTGCATGAACACGAGCTCCAAATTAGTATATATTTAAATCCACCTTACATATATACAGAATGTTATGCAATTAATATTTGGTGGATGACTCAACTAATATTTTTTATTTATGATTGTTAAATGATGCAAGACCTTCTATTACAATCCTAGTGTTTAGTGTCTGTGCTGGCAGCCTTCCTCTGCTTCTTATATTGAAGAATTTCCTCTACTAATAGTGAATTTCACATGGGTAAACCATATTGAGAAGTTACAAAATGTAGGAACGCAAAAAAGAAAATGTGTTCAAAGCCCAGGAATGCCACAGTAAACATTTTGGTAGTATTGTATATATATATATATCCATGTATGTGTGCGGGTGTGTGTGTGTGTGAACATATACATATGTTCTCCTGGTCTTTTCACCAAATTTGTGTTATACAAACATACTTGTCTCCAAAAGCATTACTTAACATTAATATTATTTCTATTTTTATTGCATTTTATATGCATTTGCTTGTATTTATCGGCTTTCCCTAAAGATGTCCTAAACCTTAAAAGACTACTCACCTGGACGCCTGTAGAAGACACAGGTATCAGCTGGCTTGAAGGAGAGCCACCACGGTCACTGTACCCTCAGAGTTGAGCATTGGATTTTGATCTCCTATGCTCCAGGCTGGAGGTTGTTTACAAGCAGGGCTTTGGCCTTGGCTCTCTGTCCCCCCATAGGGGAGGAGACAGAGAGCCAGGGCCAGCCCTAGGCTTCTCCACATTGCTGGGGTTGTCCTGTAAAACAGAAAATGAACTTCATAGATAGCTTCACAGTCATTACTATGAATTTCTTTAAACACAGTAGGTACAATCCTACTTACTAAAACTTAGCCCATGAAGTCTGTCTCCATTTTGTTGGGCTCAATATGCCATTGCCTTAAGCCTCCTTCCACTAAATCTTCCTGTAAAGGGGGAAAGTGCCAGCTACAAGGTAGAGGAGTGATCAAACCATCAGCTAGTTATCTGTAGCACGATGCCGCAATAAGCACACTTACGGAAATGTAGCTGACTGACAGCCAAGCACTTTCCTAGGAGAAGACACAAATTTCAGAAACACCTTCCGACTGTAGTGTATAGTCATATACACTCTGCAAACACATTCTAATTTTCATTTGAGATGCACTAAGTTCTGGGTGCTTCATTCTGTCCTCTGTCAACCTAGGAAGTGTTAGTAGGGAATTCTGCACAAAACCAAAAAGAGCCAGCACAGAAAGCGATGTGAGGAAGAAAGGATGTAGCGGTGGAGACAGGGAGACAGGGTACCAACGTGAATGTGGCTGGTGATGGCCCTTAGCTCTTGCATGATATCTTCCTGTAAAGTGCCAGGCAAAAGGCAGAGAGTAAACCATGGCTTCAAGTTCAAGCCTTCCACATTTATAAACATCTGGGTACATTCAATATTTTGGGCTTGTTATTCCTCCATGTCTAGTTATATGATGATACAGGATTTGAATCTCTTCAAATGTAAAACCATCTGCTTTGATGTTACCACCATACTCATGATAAATGCAACCAAGAAAGGAAAATCTTAGCCAAGGAGAGAGAACTATTACAAGTCATTGCTCTTCCCCATCTAAGACTCATTTCTCCTGCTACTACTGCTTTCAGGAAGCTCCAGCCACTAGACAGAACATTCTCGGGTGAGAAGATGCCCTCTCACCCAGGAAAGGTAAAATAGTAAGTACCTGAACAGAAATAGCCTCTAAACTAGGGCCACCTCTCTCCGAATTTTTTAAGAGACATGATCATGATGAAAAATGTGCAAAAATCATTTAAATAAATAAATAAGATCTGCACAGCTAACTCAGTCATGTTGACAAAAAGTGGAAGAAGTCAGGCGTGGTAGCCCATGCCTGGGAAGCCGACAACCTAAAGAGTCGAGGCAGCAGGATGCCTCTGAATTCAAGAATAATATGTCAACAGGGTAAATTCCAGGCCTGTCTGGAATACAGAGTGAGAATGTGTATTTCTCACGGCATTTAATGCTTCCAAATACAAATTTAGCTGGTTACAGCAGCACACCTGTAATCCCCCCACTTGGGAAGCCGAGGCAGAAGAATCTCAACACAGAGGCCAGTCTCGGGGAGATGGTGAGACTGCTCTCTCCAAAAAAAATGTGACATAAGAGCCTCACTAAAGAAAGGAGGGAGAGCCAGGTGTAAAGTGGTGCATGCCTATACTCCCAGCATTCGGGAGGTAGAAGCAGGTAGATCTCTGTGAGTTCGAGACCAGCCTGGTCTATGTAGTGAGTTCCAGGACAGCCAGGACTACATGTGAAATGAGACCCAGTCTTGAAAAAAAGCAAACAAAAAAGATAGACTGAAATGAGGGAGAGCTGGGTATGGTGTACACATTCTTTAATCTCGGCTCTGGAGGCAGAGGCCAGTGGATTTCTGTGTGTTCAAGGCCAGCTACGTCTACATATAGCGAGTTCCAGGCCAGCCAGGGTCACACCATGAGGACCTATCCAAAAAACAGGGCGGGGGGGGGGGGGGGGGGGGGGGGGGGGGGATGGTCAGAAAATGTGCCTTTTAACTTCATCTCAGCTATTTGTACTAATGCATTTTTAATTGTGATGTTTAATCAGGGAAGTTCCATTAGGCTGATATTTATAATAATAATGGGATTATCCTTATATCGGTCAGTGACTGGGTTTTGCTAGAACTATAAAGCCATAAAACAATGCTAAGAACATTTACATATGCCAATTGTGCCTCAGAACAATTGTACCACTATCCTTTCTGCAGCTGGGGAAACTATGGCTTAGAGAGACTTTGGGTGTCCTGTCTATGACCACGCAGGTAATAATCCACAAGAGTTGATTCAAATTGGATCTGCCCAATCCAAAATCTGATCTCTCAGCTACTGGGGTAATACACCACCTTGCAATAACTATAGCAGCCAGTTTTCTGTATGCTCTGGGACAGCGAAATGAACGTCAAAGCAAGCTGTTCCATTTCTTAATAGGAAGTCTAGCTAGTGCTTATCTCCTAAACTAAACTCATGTGAGGCTCCGGGTCACGCAATCTCTAGCACATACACATCTCAAAAAACTAAACTAAATTCAGTTGTTACCGAATCTTGAGCATGAAGCCGGCACTTGATGCTCTGCCCTGAAATAGGCATTTTCAAATGGCTAAATGGCAGACATGCACGAGAAGACTGTTTCCCTCACCTCTGTTTCTAGCGAAAAGACTGATCTAGTGGCGAAGGAGAGACTAAAGAGCGTGGATTTCCACTGGCAGATTTCCCTGTCGTTACAATCACTAGGCTGCTGGGCGTTGCTTAAAGTTGTTTTGGTAGGATAAATAAACTTTGCATTTTAACTGTCAAGGAGCTATATAAAAAGAATGAGGGTAAATAAAACTAGATCCAGTAACAACTGGATAGTAGTTTTAATCGTTAGTGTCTTTCACTCCTGTTCATGTACAGAACTACATTTGGTTATACCCCCCCTAAAAGGAAAATGGGCATACTCTGCCACACAGGCTCTCCCTTTAAAGCCCCTCATCCGCCTAAGGGCTTCCACTCTCTCCTTAAACTCGAAAACTCCCCAGGGACCACATGTGGCACAGCTGTACTCCGCTACAGGTGACCACTTGTGCACTGTGGATGGAGCCTGCTACCTCCCTGCTTTTCTTCTGTAACTGCTGACGAGTTCCCTGGACCTCTCTACAGTACTGTGGGGTGCGCGTATTTCCATCTCGGCTCTTGAGACCCATTACCTTTTCCTCTTCTTTGTCCTCCCTCTACCCTTCAGGGGGAAACACTGAAATCTAATCAGATAATAATGCTGCCCCTGGAACACCACAGTCTTCTGCAGAGAGAAATAGCTGCATTTCCATTTCCCCAGCTTCCCCTGAGCACAGCACAGTAAAAGACAAAAACCAACAAAAAACTCTAACTGCGCTCCCCAGACACTTCGCCTACCACACCCAAACTCTCCTTAGTTTTTTAAATCTTTTTTTTTTTTTAATGTCTTTTACTGACCTTTTTACTAAAGCCTGTTGTAAAGAGGGGGGAAAGTATTTTATCAGTCTCAGAAAACATTTCCCAAACTCTGAAAGAATCAAGTCCTACTTACGCAACCCCTCGGGACCAGTTTGCTTCCTCTCTCTGTCTCTCTTTGCTCTGGCAGGGCAGCTCCACAAAGCTGCAGCCTGACACTGACATTTATAGCCCTGTTGTTTACTTCACCCTCCCAGGTGCGGTCCAAAGTTCAAAGCTCCCTCTCGCAGCGACCTTGCAAGCACAGCAAGCCCCAGAAGAGATTCTGATCGCCACAATGGGAAGAAAGGAACCCGCGAGGCCACGCATGCCGAGCAACGGGTTTTGACAAGTACTAACTTAAGTCCTGCTTTCAATCTCCCCGTTATCTAAGATTTAATGGTACAGTCCGGGGTGGGAGGAAGGGCTAAGGGGCGAGAGGTCCTCCAAGTGCTGCTCCTTCCTTTCCAGGCTACAACAGGGAAAAACATTTTGCTTAGCCAGCAAGTTAGGCAGCTGTTTTAAAAGAAGGAAAAAAACATTTCTTTGTTGGTTTTTTTTTTTTTTTTTCCTTTTTCTTTGGGTTGAGGAAGTTCTGGCCTAAACCTACAGTGTAAGCTTCTTTAGAAGAGTCACCTGCTGTTCACACTATTTGGGTCCTCCGGCTACTACAGACCTGTGTCCACTGTTGGGCTGTGTTCAACTGGTGTGCAGTCTCATGGGGCCTCTGCTCTTTTGTTTTTCCATAATATAATGAAATAAAGTAGTCTCCAGTCTGAAAGAAACCAGGCCTCATTTAAAATATACATATATACATATATATAGTTATATATATACATATATACATATACAGTGTTTTATATATATATAGTTATTCTCATTCTGTCTCTCTGTGTGCCTCTGTCTCTGCTTCTCTCTGTCTCTGTCTCTGTCTCTCTCTGTCACTCTCTCTCTCTCTCTCTCTCTCTCTCTCTCTCACACACACACACACACACACACACACACACACACACTGGGGAGGAGGGATAGGCCGTGCACACATGCCACAGTACTAATGTGGAGGTCAGAAGACAATTCTGTGGAATTGGGTTCTCTCCTTTCTCTTTACGTGGCTTCCCTTTTAAGTGGGTTCCCTTTTGTGTGAGTTCCAGGAATCAAATTCAGGTCAGTCTTGCTTGGCTATAGCTCTTACCCTCTGAGCCACTTCCATGGCCCCAAACCACATTTTCCTAGTAACAGTAGTCCTACTCAAAGGAAGACCTATAAACCCAACAGAATTTTTTTAACCGTTGCTTCAGGGTTATAGGTTTTATTTTTTTATTTATCTTTATAATTTCATTCATGTATACAATATATTTTGATCAAGTCTACCCCTACTGGCCCCTCCAACTCTTCCCAGACCCCTCCCCAACACATCTTCTTCTCAGCTTTTTGTGATGTTTTTGTTGGTTGGTTGGTTGGTTGGTTGGTTTTGTTTTCAACCTACTGAGTCCAGCTAATGCTGTTGATCTCTGCTCAGGCGTGGGGCCACCGCTGGAGCATTAGCAAGCTACCAAAAGCCACACCCTTGAAGGAAAGTGACTCTCCCCTGGTAGCCCTCAACTGCCAGTAGCTCCTCACCTAGGGGTGGAAGTCTCCTGAGCCCTCTCCCATGCACATGGAAATATTAACCGTCTTGATTCTGTGCAGCTGCTGGGAGTTCCTGAGAGCAATGGTCCTGTGGTGTCCAAAAGACACCAACATCACAGCAGTCCTCCCGGAACTCTGGCTATTACAAACTTTCCACACCCTTCGGTGGTGCTCCCTGAACCTTGAGGGAGTCGCGATAGATGTTCATTCAGGGCTGAGCACTCCACAGTCACTGGTTCTCTGCACTTGGAGCAGCTGTGAGTCCCTGTACCATCCTCACAAACCTCTACAAAAAGAAACTTGTCCGATGAGGACTGTGAGCTGCACCGATCTTCCCAAAGAATTCTTAAAGATTCGAATGTAGAATCTTTACAAAGATAAGTATCGTACAAATCAATTACTAGTCGAGTTTGGGGAAGGCACAGAAATTTCAAAGTAAAAGAAGATTCCTACAAGGTCAGGAAGAGAACAGTTCTTTCTAGTAGCTGCTGTAATGTGGCATAAGTGAGGTAAGGGGCAATGAACGTGTAGGGTGTCCCCACCCCTGCCCACTCTCTATGTCCTGAGTGAAACTCACAGAATGCTCTGACCACTTTGTGACCCCAGCCAGCTGCTAGATTTTTTTCAGCAAGTTTGAGGCCAAGCCCCCAAGGCCTTAAATGTTCCAAAGCATGAATAAAGGTTGTTAAATAAAACACTAAAGAAACTAACCTCTAACCTTGAGCCAAAGCTCTTTAAGTCTTCATATACAGCCAATATTCAAACCCCACACGGAGGGAACACCTAGGTAAGACCTCTCTCTCTCTCTCCATAGTCCTCTCAAGGATGCACTGCATCATGGGTAAGTGCACTTTGGATGACACTCTACTGCTTAAGGCCTCTTAAGATCTTGTCTGAGCTTTCTGTATGACTTCAGCCATGAGGCCAGCAGGACAGAACACAGTGATAGATGATGCCATCCTTGGTAGCAATGTTTTCAAGCAAGCCTTTTTTGTCTAGGCAATGCATTTTGTACAAACAAACCCCTATTGATTGCCAGGTGTTAAATACTGCCATACAGGGTACAGAAAACACAAGAGTCTCAGCTGTTATTCTTCCCATAGAGAAACTTCATTTGAAACTTGAAGCCATCTGAGGGCCCAATTCAGTTTACTTGCGCCAAGCAGCCAGCCTACTGGGTCTCAGATCCCTATAGGAATCCAAGCAATGGAAAAATATTTGTCTGAAGCAGCTGAGTTTCTTGTCATTTGTTTTCTTGACTGACTTAACCAGTCGGGTGGTCTGTGTACATCAGGAAAGTGAGTATTTTTCTCTTTCCCTTCCTTTCACTGCATGTGGCTTAGCAGGTACCCCTGTCCCCCAAAAGGAGCCCCATCAAGTGTTCAGCTGGCTCCGAGGGAAAATACCCAGCGGTATGTGTGCCCAGGCAAGTGCAAAAACACAAGGAGAAGATAGGAAACCTATGCTTGAGAGGAGGCACTGGGCAGCCTGGGGCCACCGGGCACCATCAAGAAAGCAGAATTTGCCGGGCGGTGGTGGCGCACGCCTTTAATCCCAGCACTCGGGAGGCAGAGGCCGGCGGATCTCTGTGAGTTCGAGGCCAGCCTGGGCTACCAAGTGAGTTCCAGGAAAGGCGCAAAGCTACACAGAGAAACCCTGTCTCGAAAAACCAAAAAAAAAAAAAAAAAAAAGAAAGAAAGAAAGCAGAATTTGTGCTGGGCAGTGGTGGCATACGCCTTTAATCTTAGCACTCGGGAAGCATAGGCAGGTTGATCTCTGTAAATTCAAGGCCAGCCTGGTCTACAGAGCGAGTTCCATGAGTTCCATGACAGGCAATGCTACACAGAGAAACCCCGTCTTGAAAAAATAAAAAAAAATTAAAAAAAAGAATTTTTTAGGCAATTATTGATTAGGTACTAAATCAAATTAAATTAAATCAAATGAATGCTTATTGGCTCTATATGGAAAAATGCTAAATAATACTATGAATATTAAAAAACTAATTTCAAAGAACTATCCTTTGTTCTCAAGGACATCAAAATTGAGTAAGCAAGTAAGCAGGAAAAATACAACCTAAAGTGTAATTGTATCTAGGAAGGAAACTTGGAAATAAAAAAGGCAGTCTGCCAGACAGACGCCTTTAATCCCAGCACTCGGGAGACAGAGGCAGGTGGATCTCTATGAGTTGAAGGCCAGACTGGTCTACATAGCAAATTCTAGAGCAGTCATAGCTACATAGTGAAACCCTGCCTCAAAAATAAATAAACAATAAGTAAATAAAGGAGTTCTGAACCCAGACGGAGGATGAGATTGGCATGGTGAGATCAGTACACATTCAAGCAGGTTCAGCAGACATTTTATCTCTGCTTTTACCATCCACCTGCAGAGCACCCAGCAAGCCTGAACTCCGCACAATGCTATCTAGCCCGTTTTTGGTGACCTCAGCATTTTTGAACAATTATTATCTTCTGGCAGTTTTCTCTGGCAACCCAAACACATTCTAATGTTAACATCACCAAGAGTAACTAAATGACTATCAAGTTTAACTTTATACTAATGATCTCATCGACTTCCAACCTGGAGTCAGGACCTAGTGCCTTCAAAGTGCATTAGTCTATACCCAGGCATTTATACGAACATTTGATCTGTGTTTTTAAGAAGCATTCTTGCCTTTTTATAAGATACCAGTAATTTCTCTAAAGCATCTGAGTCCATGATAAAAGAGCTGTATAGACTATAAAGTGTGATTTTATAAACCAGTTATTAGCTAAGACAGCTGATAATGTGGCATCAATCCATCAATCGACAATTGTGAAATACTGAGCTCTAAATAGTAGAAATGAAGAAATGCTATTCTTATCTAAAGCATCTCTACAAATTATTAACCTCTGTAGTTTAAGCTATGTCTTAGATGCAAAGGGAAACAGGATTTCCACAGCAGGATTGGGAATGGCGCCTATTGACTCAAAAGATATCCCTCCCTCCCCCAAGCATGCACAAAGTCGTCCAAGTGTTATCAGATGAACGGTTCCAAATACAGTAGCATTTAGACATCTACATCGAAAGATCAATGGGAAGGAACGCTTAGGAAAAAACAAAGTGTTTTTAAGTAAAGAGATCTATGGGCCAGCGGAAGGCTTGGGGACAGCAGCTTGGATTAGATAAGGCCTAACTGACCCTTTGAGATTCAAGTGAGATTGAAATACGCTTTGAAGGGAGATTTCCGTCAAGTTCACGCGTTTACAGACCTAAAACCCGTCTGATGACTCAGGCATCAGTGAGGTGGGGAGTTACTACATACAGTGCCAAGTTTCATGTGGGGCTGAGTACCGCCAGAGAATAACGAACATCAAAAGAAGGCTGCCTGGGGGGAAAAAAAAAAAACAGTTAAAAAATAACAACCTTGCCCAAACCAAAGCTACAGTGTCTCTCAGCTCTTCGAGAATCAGTATCAACTACCACATTAGAAACAAGGATCGGGAATCAAGTAGCCACTGAAATGGTGTTAATCTCTTAAAAGTGCCCACATGAGCCGGGCGGTGGTGGCGCACGCCTTTAATCCCAGCACTCGGGAGGCAGAGCCAGGCGGATCTCTGTGAGTTCGAGGCCAGCCTGGTCTACAGCG